GCAAAATTCAGTGAGTGGTAAAGTGTAAATGTATCATCCTGTCCTTTAATCAGGCACAAATTGTTACCTTTTGTGAAAGAAGTTGCACTTTTTGATGATCTGCAAATTTGGCTGAGGCTAAGTAAATCAGACACTCAGGCTTGCAGATCAGTTGAGGGTCTCTTTCTTGCTTTTAGAGAAAAGGAAACACACATACCCTACCTCATATTGCTCAAAGAAAGAGATGGCCCTGCCTTTTTCCACATTGGAAGGTGTTGCATTTCTATTTTTTAAATGCCAAATTCATCTACTTTTGCAGGAGAATGACTCTACCATAGTGTCCTGGAAATGTTGCACATTCCTTTCCCAATAGACTAGGTAGACAATGCTTACCCGCCGGTGATGTGAGTCTTGACAGAATGCCCTTGATCCTCTGGAACATGAGAACTTGGGAATCTCCTGAGGAGCTGCTACAGGTCATTTTTCATTTGCCTGGAGGCCTTCCCTAGGAATCCATCCTGAGATGGTTTCTCATCGCCTCCAGGCTTCTGATGAGGTTGAGGCATTTTGCTTCATCCCCTGACCCTCCACCCTCTTAGGACTCAGTTTCAGGCTATAAAACAGCATAGCTGCAGCTTGAAATCTCCTCAGCAACAGGGTAGCAGAACATCAACAGCACAGTATCAGGCCCTTTTGTCTCAGTGTCATTTTGTGTAAGGGACATGGGGAGCTGGCTCCTTCAGCTGCTTTTGCTCTCTGTAAGTAATAAACCGAATGTAAAAAAGGACTGGGTTCCTGATGGGCTAAATCTCAGCCTTTGTCTTGCCTAGCACGACAAGTCCCATCATCTTAACCTCTATGTTTTCATTTCTTTTTTTAAAGTGGTTTTTATTCATATGTAAACATGTGCTTTCTTGTGCTAAAGTCCATATAAATTGTACTCTGTGCTTAATTTATTATATACAAAAGTCATATTGTGTGATCTTCATAACTGTAATTTATTTGGCCTCTGTTGTTGGATATTTAGATTTTTTCCAAAACTTTGTGCTGTTGTAAAGGCAGCATTTGTTACTTTTGCATTTTTTTAGAGTATATAATGTTAAAGTTGGAATGAATAGATCAATCAGTATTAACATATTACTTTGGGGCTGTAAATATGTGTTACTGATGTAACTTTCAAAAGTTTTAGTCAAGTTTACAAAGCCAGCATCAGTGAGTGAGCTTATTAATTTCCCTGCAGACTTAATTTTATGGTGCTTTTAAGTATTAAAAATTACTAGTTTAATAGATATTTCCATTATATCTTGGCTATGTATATTAAAGTGAAGCATTGTTATATAGCAGGTGAACATGGGCTAGAAGTGTTTAAGTGCAGAGTTTTCTAGATGCATGACCTCTGTAAGCCTCAGTTTCTTAAAATTATAAAGCAAGGTTATAAATACAATCTTGTAAAGCATAAGTGGAATATACACATTGCACATATACGTGTGCACACCCACACACAAATACAGACACACATCCCAACCACCTACTTTGGTGCCTGGTATATAATAGGTATATATCAAGTGATGGATAGTATACAGTCGATACATTTTAGTATTAGTGTTTGGCAGTAGAGTAATAATTGGAACACTGTTGTAGCCAGTGTGTGTAGCGACAACAGAAGGAATTTAGGGTTAACAAACCTGTATGTATATCCAGTATTCTGTGAGACGAAGGTCATATCTGTTGCATGTGTGAGAGAACAGTATAAAAAATCAAGTAAGTTTGGTACCTGAAGCAGTGCTCTCTCATAATTGGTTTAGTTCCTCTAGGAAACTGAGAAATGAGTTGAGCAAAATAAATATCTTTGAATACATCTTTAAAGTCAAAAGTACTGCTCAGCCTGCTGGCCTTCCCTGTAGCTCATTAAGCACATACAGCCAGAGACAATTGTAGCTCCAGGGACACAATGATGAGCACCACCCGAATCTCTCCTTTTGCGGATCTTACATTCCAACTCCGAACAACCAAACTGGTTCATTTCAGCTAATGTAATCCTTGTGAAAAAGAATGGAACAGGCTGAAAAGAGATGAAAGGGGTGGCAGAATACTTGGGAGTCAGTGACAGCAGAAGGGCCGTCTGCAGCCTCCAGGTGCAGGCTGGCTTGTGCCCCCTCATCTCATTTGCAGGCACTGAACTGCTGAGTGGTTCCCTTGCTGTACAGAAATATTTAATTCATTGAAAGTTGTTATTGTTTGATATGTTTCCTTTTCCAGATGAATTTTAAAAGGCTCACTTGTATCCTCATGTGATCATAAAAGTTCTTAGATATGATTTACTTCTGGTGAAATGATAATATATGACAATTGAAACTATTAAATTGAGAAACGATATACAATCCTTTTTCTACAGCTGTTGTAGAAAATGAGATCTCTATATTTGTTTTAGAGCCAACGCTGCTGTTATGTTTTTGTAAAGCATATAATTGTAATGTAGTAAAACATTTATGTAAAAATAGGGATGTTGAGTAGTCTTACCAGATCATCTTTAGGGTTTATCAAATTGCTTTCTCTATTTAGGAAAGTAAAATATCTCATGTTGTGGTAGAAATAGCAGCAAATATTTAAGTGATACAATGGGCCAACGGACTGAGCTGTGATGAAAGTCAAAGCAAGAAGAATCCACCCCTGGCAATTTTTTTAGCCTTGCTTGATAATTACAATGCTTAAAAATTATCATACTGTAGTAAGCGTATTGCTTAGTAGTAACATGTTAATGTGTTGTGACTGATACATAGTAATAAATGTTAGGTTAATGTGTTTGCTTTGTTGTATCTATTTTAAAATTATGAGTTGACACTATTTTTTCTCTATTTCCTGACCATAACATACTCTCTTTTTTGTCAGTAATATATATGGATACCAAAGGAAAAATGATATATATTATTATTTACTTTTTGTGTAATAGACTAGGGACTGGGTTATCTTTTTATTCCAGTAGGCAATGTATTTTTTGGCACATTAAGAGGAGGTCAGAAAATGATTTTTAAATGATTAAAAGTCTACATGAATTTTTCCTGCATAAGTTAGTGGATTTTTATGTTTGTTAGTCCATCATTTTGCTTTATTGTCTTGAGAAATTCCAAATGTTTGACTGAGAGGTGTATCTTACCCCCTGTCATCACCAGTGCTAACACAGTTCTGACGTTTTACCATCTGTGCTTTCTTCAAGGACATTCTGCAGAAAGATGAATGTTAAAAAAGTTGATCAATCTCCTCCAAGGATGTGTGTATGTGTGTGATTGTGATTGTGAAGGAGGTAGTTAATTAATAATACAGAGGATTTTAAAACTATGTAAAATAACAAATAAGGAAAGAATATTTACAGTAATGTCAGCACCCAGGTGTAGCCACTGTTAAGTATTTTGCTGTTTCTTTCCAATTGCTTTTATTTTTATTTATTGATTTGAGAGAGAGAGAGACAGAGGGAGAGAGAGAGAGATCAGTTTATTGTTCCACTTATTTATGCATTCATTGGTTGATTGTTTTATATATTCCGACTGAGAATCGAACCTGCAACCTTGGTGTATTAGGACAACACTCTGACCAACTGAGCTACCCAGCCAGGGCTCCAGTTGCTTTTCTCTGCACCCGTGTTTGCCTGTGTGGACACACATATTGGTATACTTTGCACAGAGAAGGTGCCTTATGAGTATGTTGAATAAGTGAATGTTTTAATACATAGAATTTGTATTTTAAAATTTAAGATCATATTATATATACTGTTTTGTGTCCTTACCTTGATTTTTACTTATCCCAGAAAATTCTGAAGGTATTTTATTTAAAAACATGGATTTTGATAACGTCATAATCATGTACACATATATTTACTATAATTTATTTAACTTTTCTCCCATATTAATTTTAGTTTCTATTTGTTCTGTAATAATGTCATATACATTTTTACCATTAAGTTTTATCATGACTACTTTCATAAGCATGTAATAACCCTAGGGGAGGAATTACTAATATATAGAATATAAATTTAAAACAATTACTAGTTATTTTTGCCACATTTTCCTTAAAGATGATATTTTTCTGAATTACAAAGTTTAGGTATTCATCTAGAAAATTTTCTTTCCCCAAAAGAATATTGGAGAAATAGTTTCCCCAAAGAATATTGGGGAAAAAATTTTATAATCCTGGCACCTAAAGATGACTTAATTTAAAGTTTTGATTTATAGAAGTTTAGTCTTTTAATTTCCATTACATAATTTACAAAAAAAGGACCATTTTATTTTCTAAACTGCTTTTATTCACTTAGTCATGTACTGTTAATACAGCCTTCCTCTGTCTTTAAACAATATACTGCAATGTAATTCTATGGCCAATTATTAAAATGACACTTCCATTCAATGCATTTAACTAACTCCCTCTTTGTGGATCTTTAGTTTATTTCCAGTGTTTCATTATTATAAAGAGTTCTCGGATAAAAATCCTTGTTTTTGTCCCTTAAGCACATCTACTATAATTGTATTAAAAGACAAATTCCTGGAGGAATTGCTGGTTCCAGGTATATGAATATTTTTTAAGGCTTTTGACATATTTCACATTGCCCTCTGACAGGTTGTACTAATTGACATTCACACTAAAAGGAGGTAAAGTAAAAGGAGATTAAAAAATTTTTTTCAAGTCGTTCACCTTAAAATTAATCTAGTCATCTTCTAGAGAACCGTACTTGTTCACTCTCTGTGAAAGGAGTACGAGGGGACCTGTTTAGATGTTCACCAGTCTTCTTGGGGGTAGGATGTATTCACAAGCCTGTTCTAAAATAGGACAGGTTGAATGTGGAGTAGTTGATGATTTTACTCAATGCTCACAGAGAGTTAGGAGGGAAGGCTTTTATTGGTTGCTGGGTCTTCTGATTACCAATTTAATTTGCCTGCTCCTTAGGTTTATCTACAATTAAATTTTATTTTTCTATCACTAATTTTTTCAAGAAAACTCATTGTGTGTGTTTGCGTGTGTTTTTTCCCCAGTCCCTTCAGCGACTGCACAGGACACATGGTCTTGGGAGCAGTACTTGAAAGAACAGAATGCCATAGCAGCACCCATTGAACTGTTTTCTCAGGTGATCTACTGACGGTCTTATGTTTTTGCAAGGAGTCAATACTTAGGGGAAAATTAATTAATATTAAATTGTTTGCCTACCACAGAGTGCACCAACTTATTTGATTTTTAGTTGCTGGAAAGTGACAAAACGAAGCTAATCAAAGCCTTAACATTTCAGAGTGTGTGCTCTGGAGCTGGGCTTCTGGGTTCGAAGTCCAGTGCTCTTACCCGCCTGCTCCGTGTCCTTGAGCACGTCATTCAGTCTCAGTCTCTCTGTTTCTCAGTTTCCTCGTCTGTGCAGTAGGGAAAGTACCATACCTACCTTCTTGGGTTGTTGGAAGATTAAAGAAATTGTATTGTAAAGGATATAGGATGTAACATGTACAAGGTAAACACTCAAAAGGTGTTAGTCTTTCTTTTTATTAGCTGATATTACTTGCATATGTCCACCGAGGAACAGGCTTGAGTGATCTGTTTTGATATGTTGCATGGAGGTGGTGGGTCAGGCAGCAAGGTAGAGGAGATGGTGAGACCCCTGAAGCATGGCTTACCTGACTGTAAAGATGCCCAGAGCAGCCTACGTGAACTTGCTTGGCCAGCTGACTACTGGCACCAGGGGCTTGCAGCCTCCGGGCATCATCTTCACCCAGACACCAAACCTGCCATTGCCCTATTCTTCTCAGTTTGTGTTTTCAGTACTTCAGGGCCAATTTTATTTAAAAATCACATCATATTTGCATTTTAACTGGCTGAAACTTTTATCTGCTTTACTTTTTTTTATATGTGTTGAGTTACATCTAGTACTTTTTATTATGTAAAAGAGCTAATAATTATAATCCTGGATATGGCAATAGACTAGGGAGAAGAGGTGGCACAAACAGGGAAAGAGAAACCAAGTGCTGGCACCACACATTTAAGAAATACCGAGTATCCTCTTATTTGTACTTAACCCATTCTTCACATCAGATATTTGTGTGGAACTTTGGAAAACACAGATGTGTGGGTATTTCTGAGACCTACTACATAGGAACCTCAGGGGTGGAGCCTGGAAATCTCTAGCTTGAGAACCTACTCAGGGCTTCGTGTGTAGCATAGAGGTCCACTGTGGTAGATGGTTTTAAGAACTGTGCAATTTTTGCTTGAGTAAGGTCCCTGCTACTCCATCTTGCTGTCACTTGATAAGACTTTTGGTGCATTTTTTTCATCAAAAGTATGAAAGTTCCAGAGGTAAGTGATCTCTTCTTTCTTTTCTTTCATGTTTCCTCCGTGTCTACCCTGTTCAGTGAGCTCATAGTCAATGTTGAATGACTTCTGTGAAACCTCTGAAGGTCCTCAGAGGGTGTTTGCAGTGACTGGGACTGTGCAGTGTAACTTGTGGCCACCCTTTCCTCCTCTCCCCGTGCCCATCCCAGGCCCCCGCTGCAGCAGTCACTGCTGTTCTAGAGGGTAGAGCAGGCTGGACCAGGAGCAGGCCAAAGCTCGTCAGGTGCCGTGACCTCTGCAGGTAGATGTAGTCCAGGCAGGGTCTAAGATGTGAAGTTCACCCAGAAGACACAGGCCAGGCTTGGGGGGAATCACTCACTGTCCAGGGTCTCAAGGCAGCCAGAAGCCATGTAGGAACAGTCAGTGACTTTAGTTAGTATTTAATGAAGCAGGATTGGCCATGAATGATGTAGTGTCTCAGGGATTAGGCCTGTGCTGTGTCTTCAGATCAGGATTCTAGATCACACAGATCCTCTCTTTCCTCCAACAAAGACTGAATCTGACATTTGGGTTTTGGGGGTGAAGTTTGTTTTAATTTCCAGAGCAAGGCAAATTTTGCCTGATGTTAGCAAAGTGTTGGATTCTCTGACTAGCTCCTGTGTTCTCCCCCTTATCTCAGCCAGTCAATGTGTTAACATTGTTTTTCAGAGTTATCTCCTTTTAAGTTCTTCAAGGTTCATCAAATAGTATAAAAATACCTGCAGAAGAGAGAATTTCTCCCCCAGAGAATCTCTTGTGATCTGATGTTATCTAAAAAACCAACAAGGGGTAAATGTGGAATATCTGTTCCCAAAATAAGTATTTATGGCACTATTGGGTGCTCTGTGGGTCATAAAACTTTTCTCCCTAGGTTTTATAGAGATCTCACAAGAGTGCTGAAAAGCAATAAGTGAGAGGATAGTCTTGGAACATGTAAAGATAGGAGTAGGTTCTTTCTGGACAGGAGTTGGTTCTCTGTGAGACTGCTCATTGAGTGGAGATGAGTGGTGAGTAGGGGATGCGGTCTTTGATGATTCCTTTGCTAATAATTTTACTTAAAATATGACTTTCTCATGCCTTTGAACTCTGTCAACTCTGAAGATGACAGTGTTGGTACATGAGAAAGCAGATATATCTGATATGTTGGGGTGCCTTTCTCTTTACTCATAATTTAACAGCCCAGCTATTCCTGTTTTTTAAGGTTCTCTGTGTGCAAAGCAGCATGGAAGCCCTAGACCAAAACACTAAGGAGTTTATGATATGATTTCTCAAAATCTTGCCATCTATGTTGGGATATGAGACATGCCTATGAAGCATGATAACAATATTAGATAGAATGTTAATAGTCAGTGGAATGGACAGTTAATGATTGAGTTTATTGGGTATTCCATGCTGAGAGGACCTCATTCCACCCTAAATGAGAAGAATGAAGACACTGATTATTAGGTCTGGTTTATCCTGATGATCTAAGAAGATGCTTGTGTTCAAGTACAGTGTTAATCTAATTCGCTGTTTTTATTCTGAGATGAAGCATGGTTTATAATTGAAAATTGAATCCCACTGAAGCATGGTTTCAGTGGAATCCAAAAGCAGGTGCCAGCCTTCCATGCAGCGTCAGACCGAACTCATTTTTGTATTGACATTGTGTGCTTAACTATTAATGTTCATTTTCATTGTGTAAATATTATAATATGGTGTTCAGATCAGCCAGTTGAGATGGAACTCTTCATCTTTGGATACCAAAATGTTGAAAATAACACTTAAAGTAATTTGCATATCCCAAATGAAAAACTGTCAAAAGACATTAAAATATTGCTTTACTTTTGTTTCTACTTTCCATACTAATATTCAAGTTGTAGAAGATGACACTCAGACACACACATGCCCACATGATCAATTTCAGCATGTAAATCAGATAGCTCTTCTTTCAAGAAAATATGTGTATTTTTTTAGGAGAGTACTTTTATTTATAGTGCTATTTATTACCATCTGGGATAATGAATATACAAGGATATATATACCTTCTGTTGACAGAAAATTTAAAAACATTTTCATTACCAGTGGAATGTACCTAACTTGATTTGGTTTAAACTTTGAAATAATTTCCTTTTTATGTGGCACCCAGCCCTCCCTCCATTGAGGTTTATGCCATCTCATCCCTGCTGTTTTCATTCATGTTACTGTGTGTGTGTGTCTCTACACACCACTACCTTTTCTGTGCTTCCCCTCTTCCCTGTGATCCATCTCTTGTCCCCAGTCCTGTTCTCATTCTTGGATTTCCCTTTGCCCACGTAACAGTCCACCTGACTCCCTAGTGCCTGGAGTGCCTCCACCCAGGAACCTGAACTTCTTTTCAATTCAGTCCATCTGTTCCATGACCTCACTTGCAATGTTGAACTTAAAATTTCATCATTTTGTCCACTGTCATTTCATGGGACCAGTTAGTTTTTCTTTTAATTAAGACTTGTAGTTTTTTAATTCTTTTTCTCCCTTCTCTGACTTAACATCTATCCCTAGTCTTTCTAGGCCCACTGGTTCCCTCGTTCCGGCCATTCTTTTGCCAGGATCTTCAACTCCTCTATTTCCCTGTCATCTTTTTCTAATATATACTTGCTTTAATCTTGGTGGTGGATAAATCATATTTGCCTTTAAACTGTACTGAGGCTGCCACACACTGCTGGAGGAGACTGCAAAGCCTCGCAAAGTGGCGGCCCTGGAAACCCGTAGTTTCCACCAAGCTGGGCAGTGTCCATCCATCCTTCTGGATTGCCAAACTGCGTGTTCCCTGTTTCCCGGGAGGGCAGTTGTCTTAGCCGTTTTCTTTCACTCTCAGCAGAAGGTTCTTACTCACTCCTGTCGCTCCTTTGATGGATCAGGCGAGGCCCTCTTCCACTTTGTTCTGTAAACCTCACTCATGGCACCTACTCTCACCTTCTTCCCTGTGACACTGGAAGTGGTGCTCTGGGTCATTCCCATTCCTGCTTTTCCAGAGACCTCAGTCCATCATTTACTTCAAGTCCTGCTTGTAAGTTAATTGTGTTTCTCTTCTGAGCCTTTCCCATTAGAATACAAATATGCTTAAGTCTGTTCCATCCTTAAGAAAAAACACTGCCCCTTCATTCTGCATTTTCCTGCCTAACTTATCTCCTTAGTCCAGTCTAGCTTCTTGAAATTGTAGGTTGCATTTTCTCTTTCCTTAAAATATCTTATTTATTTCTTTTTTTAAAGAGTGGGAACGGAGGGAGGGAAACATCAGTATATTGTTGTCTCTGGTGTGCCCCGCCCAGCCCCACTGGGGACCTGGCCCACAACCCAGGCATGTGCCCCGAGTGGGAACTGAACTGATGGCCCTTTGGTTCTCGGGCCGGCGCTCAATCCACTGAGCCATACCAACCAGGGCAGTATTTTCTCTTCTCTTGATTTTTTTAACCTTTTCCTCCTGCGAGTTTTTTAACCTTTGCCTCCTGGCCTCTACTCCCACCATTGCCTTAAACTGCACCAGTAGAAGTGACCTCTAGAATTTCAAAGCCAGACACATGGTAGTCTTTATTTTATACTCCCTCCACTCCAGAACTCTGTCCACTGTCAGCTTCCGATTTTGCTTATACCTAGCCACTCCTGGCCAGGCTCTTCTGAAAATCCTTTTCACCTTGTATGATTTCATCTTAGGGCCCTTCTCTGCACAGCTCCCTGGCCATCTCATCTACGTCCTGAATTTCCATCCCAACCAGACACAATGGCATTCCTAACCTCCTGGGTCTTCCTCTTGGTCTTCGT